CCCTAACCATGACCAGTACATAACTAACCCTAAATTTAGCTATGACCAGTACATAACTAACCCTAAATTTAACTATGACCAGTACATACCTAACCCTATGACCAGTACATACCTAACCCTATGACCAGTACATAACTAACCCTAAACTTAACTATGACCAGTACATAACTACCCCTAATCAAGACCAATACATAACTGACTCTAAATTTAACTATGACAGTACATAACCAACCCTATGACCAGTACATAACTAACCCTAAACTTAACCATGACCAGTACATAACTAATCCTAACCATGACCAGTACATAACTAACCCTAACCATGACCAGTACATAACTAACCCATTAACAGTACTCCCTTAGACGGAAAACCTTCAGTAACTGAGTCTGGCTGAAGACTTAAATTTTAACCAGTTGTTGTTGAACACTGACTAGTTTAGCTGGTTCTCATAACTTGAGGCTTGTTTTGAACCCATGACTAACATGTTTTTATATTATTTAGAAAAAAAGCATTTCAAGCTCACGCTGAACATTAGGTGTTATTGCTGACACTAATAAATAAGTCAGAGAAAATAATTACATCTTGGGCTCAACATATTCAAACAGAGCGTCAGCCTGATGGACACATCCCTGCTGTTTTGGACCCAGCAGAACAAGCCCAGGCCCGGCTCAGTTGGACTTTGGTTGGGGAAGGCAGACAGAGTGGGTGAATGAACAGGTTAACGGTGACGGGGTCTTTGAATGGCCGTGACAGGAGGTGGGGGTTGAATCAACGAGGGGCTGCAGCACTGAACAGGGGGAAGTGACCCGGAAACAGAGAGTAAGTGCAGCTCGTCAGGAAAATAAAACAACCTCTGCAGAACCCATTTTTCCTCCAGCTCCCTCACTGCTCCTCACTGGTGTCCCACAGCAGAGAAAAACAGAACCGTGGCAGCATTATGTCACGTTACAAACAGTTCAGGATCTAATTAGCTGCCTTAAAACCTATTAGCACGTCGCTGAAGGCCTCGACCTCAACAAATGAACACCAGAACAGTGGAATGTTTCTCATGAGGCTGAAAATTAGTGATTCATAAAACTGTTGTTTTCTCTTCAAATCAGCCATTTTATATGTGGAAACGTGTGTAAAATCAGGCTTTAATGAACTGATTAAATGTGGGTCAAATCTGACAGAATATTGTTTGAACAGACAGTCTTTTTTTTTATTTTACATTTCTAAATTGATCAAACTGAACGCTCTATTCCTGACTAATCTGCAGGAATGTTTCATTTACAAGGTAAATCGCTTTAGGATATTAAAAAAAAAGCCACAAGTCCAGGCCTCATCTCTGCGCAAATGTTTTTTTTTTCAACGAATAAATAACACGAGAACGAGCAAGCATGAAAAGGTTATTGCAATTATATTTAAGAACCAATTGAATGTTTTTTGCTTGTTTTTTATTTCTTAAGCAAAAATAATAGTTAGTAAACAAATGAAGTTTTAATCTTAAAGATCTGCCTAACACAACACTAATGCTTTACATTGTAATTATGTAATTTTARCAAGATTGTTTTCATTTTCCTTGTTTTATTTTTGTTTTCTCTGTGATTTAAGTGACAAACTTAAGGCCTGTGGGCCAAATTTKGCMCACATTAACATTTTTCTGGCCCCAAAAGTAGTACTTTAAATGTAAAACAGTTTCATGTTTTTGCTTTTTGTCACTGATGACAGCAGACCGACTTACAAGTTAAGAAAATGAAGTTTGAAAATTTCATGTTTAATTATGGTGTGGAAAGAGCAATAGAGAATCAACTTTGTTTTTCTGTATTTGTTTCTTATTTTAAAGTAAAATAATTGGATTTTAGTTTTTTTTTTTACCTGATTTGCTAGATTGTGATAACATGTATCTGAGATGTAA